TATGAATTGAATGTATGCCTTATATTGAGATAAAAATATGAGATAAACATTTTCTGGAGCTAAGAAAGTACAAGATTATTAATAAAAGCAATGAAGTCATTGATTCTGCTTCGCAGAATCTTTAGTGGGTAAGAAAACCACACAAAAAGTTGATACTATATTAGAGTTTCACCATTAGTGATTACTACTGATAATATCATTGGTAACATTATACGAAGATGTACAAGGTAGAGCAGTGGTGTCAGGGAGGGATAACCCAGCCTGTGGAGGTACAGAGTAGAATAGCTAAGAATACAGACACTGGGGTCAACTACCTGGACTAGGATTCTGAGTCTCCCTACAGAAGGATATGCCATTTTTGTGTCTCAGGTTCCTCATCTGCAAAATAGGACAAACAGTAGCAGATCAGCCATAAGGTGAAGTGTGGCTAAATTATAACAGTTCTGGGCACCTAAAGGTACACAAATAAATTGGTTAAGATATCAAGGAGAGGTATATGAAATAAATCAGCTGTAAGCCAAGCTTTGGCACATGCTTGGATGGCTTCCAAAGGGACTGTTAAGATTTGGATATTTTTTGAATGTGTCATGAATCACCCATGTGGTGAGATCTTGGTCCTTGGTGTGCAGATGTAAAGAGGTGGTGGGGCCTTCCGGAGGTGTAGAGTAACAGGTCCCTAAATTGGTGAGGGCATTGCCTTTGGAAGGGACTAAGGTAGCTCTTGTGAGAACCCTGAGTCAATTCTCATAAGAAAGTTGTTATAAAAGAATAAGACTGGTTTTTGTAGTCTCGTTAGCTCCCTCCCCAGGAACGTGTTCTCTTTCTTTTACACATGCTCCCAGCATTGTGATATTTTCCAGCATGAGGTGATGCAGCCAAGGAACTCTCACCACAGCCACCATTATACTGTTCTATTGTAGCCTCCAAAACTTGAGTCAAATAAATCTCTTTACAAATTGCCTTGACTCAGGTGCTTTATTACAGTGACAGAAAACTATCTGATATGTAGACCAACCAGGAACATGTCAAACAGAAGGAAAAGTATGCATGCAAAATCATAGTGAGAAGACAGAAGCTCTGGAGCTATTAGTTTAGTGTAGCTGGAGGGCACTGTGTTTGCCTAGTATTACATATAGAGAGGGATGACATGGGGACTGTGGAATCCTGGTTTGACTAAACCAGACTGTGTCTCTTTTTTGATCCTCTTTATATGGCCTACCCTCTCTTGCTTCTATACTTCTTTTGTCTCTTTTTTCTCTTTGTCTCCCAGGTAACTACTCCTGAATCTATGCATTTGGTTAAGATTTGCCTTCTGTAGTTATGCGTGCATACTAAAAAGCCAAAAGCAAGTTTTTCCTTATTGTTTAAATAGCTCTTGGGTTGACTTCAGTCCTAGAACAGTATGGACTCTCTATCCAACTGAACTCCATAGGGGTTAGGGCTTTGTTCTTAAATGTTCAATTGCATCCTTAGCTAGGACATTCTTCAGTATATGTCTACATATGCTCTCGGTTTACTCTTGGTCATGATTTATATTCTTACACTATTTACCTCATCTGAGGTGTGTATAAGTAGATTTTTCGCATTCACCCACCCTGGGATTTTCATTTTGGTCCTAACTGAATAGATGGCTTTTTCTTCCATTTCACTCTGACTCAGAAAGAAATAACTAGGTACGTTAAAATTCAACTAGTCTCTTTACAGATAAGAGAAGGGATAGCTCTGTACCTTGTCTGTGTTCTTTGATGTAGTTAGCTCTATGCCTGTACCTCTCAGTAGCTGATCCTCTCTCAAACGTAACTGGAAAACTGGAATATTTAGCACAATGCTGAGTGAAACATAAGATTAAAATATTATTTGCTACATGCTGTACAGTTGATAGAGAAACAGAGAAAAAAGAAAACAGACATGAGACACAAATTGAAGACAGAGGGATCATAAAAATGTGATATGAAACTTTACATTGCTAGCAGTTATAGCAAGAGTACAAATAGAGCCTGGAGACAGAACCTACACAAGCAAAGTGATAGAAAAAAGGAAAGCCAAGGTTGAGGAAAACAATCCCATCTTTAAGTCAGTCACTTGGTCAGGATACTGGCTGAGAAGACTGACATGGAACCATGCGAACACTAAAATGCTGATGAGGAGTTGGCAGAGACTGCGTAGCTGCACAACGTACTAACCACAGACCCAATTGTATTTAAGGCATTAGGATCTTGTGAGGTCTCAGGACTTGGGAACTGAAGCAGGAGTTTTATTTGAGGTTATGTGACATTGGGCAGAGCAACTGTCACTTTTCCAAATCCCAGTTTCTTGCATGGTGCTGGGGAGAAAAAAAAAAAAAAAAAACAAAACAGAGAAACTGTCATTCGAGTCCAAGGCATCCAATAGGACTTGAGAAACAAAAAAGATAATGCATGTGAAAGCACTTGATAGAGCTGTAAACTCAACATTAATTAACAGACCACATTATGATCATTGATGCAATGTCACAGGGGAAAAATGTGAACAATAGTGTGTGCTTGCTCTTTCAAGGGTTTAACACACCTGTTGGAACAGGGAAATATCAAGGACAGAGGTCTGACCTAGAGATAAAATTACCAATTCATTCCACTTTCCTTTCAGGGTTCTTATGACAATTAACTTGCCAAGTTTCAACCACAAGCCCATATGTTTGCTAGATCACGTGGGAAAATGTGCCTTATTCAGATTATTTGTTTGTATTAACATTATTAGCACAGAGCTTCATGTATCACACTGGCCCAAATTCAATCTGTCAGGAGGCTTCCCAGCACATGAAGGTGTAAAAGCCTCTAAAACGTACGTGAGTTTTTAAACAGGCGAACACTCAGCTCACCTCCTCCTCAGCAGGTCTTGTTAGTAATAACCTTGGTCCTTACCCAGAATGATATCCATGCTGTTGACAGGTCAGAGACATTCTAAAATCTTGTACAGCCTTCTTAATCATCGAAGGAACTTTCATGTGTACTAATGACAGCCTCAATATTTAATGTACTTTAATTATTTGAGTTATTTGGCAGTTGCTAATCAGTGACCTCACCAAGTGAGATGAGATCATTAATGAGCCAGATCCCCCATTTTCTGAGCATACAGAGAAAAAAAAATATGATGAGTGATTTTCTTCATTTTTTTTTTTACTTACAGTCACAAATAGCATGCTAAGTTCAGACACTAAAATCTAGTCAGTATGACACCCAAATTCCCGGTTATTACTGTGTCTCCCAGACACCACTGCCTACTTCTCTACCTCATCTCTTCTCTTTTTTCACATACCTTGTTTCAGTCACATAGGTTCCTTTTAATTATTTTCCAACTTGTCAACACAGTGTTTCCATTTCCTGTGTGGAGTGGGTGCATGCACACAGAAATTCTGAATGCCTGGTTTTACCTTTGTACTCTTCCTCTATTCTCTCTCTCTCTCTCTCTCTCTCTCTCTCTCTCTCTCTCTCTCTCTCTCTCTCTGTCTCTCTTTGTATTTTAGGGAAGGG